TCAGACTCGGCAAAAATGCCACATTTTTGCTCTGCATTTGGGTGTACGAACAAAAGAAGTGTTAAAACCAAGCAGAAGGGAATAACATTCCACAGGTAAGAAGTTGTTTTACAATATTTTACTGTTACAAACATGTTTAATGAGATATATATCTCAAAAAGTGATCCTTCTTTTAAGCTAACGTTAATCAAGTAAAGTAACTGTCCTGATCTGGTCCTTATGCCAAATTAAGCTAACGCTATGTCACACAACTTAAAGAAAAAAGGTTAATATTTATATAATATTACTTATAAAATTATGATGCTTTGTCAAACAGCTATGTCGGTGTATGTGTTATTCCAAATTGTCAACTATCTGTTTCATGGCACCAACGTGACATAACGCAGTATAACGTTAGTAGTTAACAAACATGTTCATCAAAACAAGAACAAAATCTTCTCTTGTTTTGTAGATTTCAAAAAAGCATTCGACTCAATTTGGCATAGTGTTCTGTTCCTAAAATTAATTGAGAAGGGTGTAGGGGGGAAGGTCTATAACATAATAAAAACAATGTACAAAAATAAAAAATGTGCTGTTAAAATTAACAACATGGAAACAGATTTCTTCCCCCAGAGTAGAGGAGTAAAACAGGGCTGCAGTCTCAGCCCCACCCTCTTCAACATTTATATCGATGAATTGGCCAAATCACTAGAACTATCTGACATCCCTGGTCTCACTCTGTCTGACACACAGGTTAAATGCCTACTTTTTGCAGATGATCTCATATTGCTGGCTCCATCAAATGAAGCACTACAACAGCAACTGGATCACCTGCAAACCTTCTGTCAGACCTGGGCTCTGACAGTTAATCTAGAAAAGACTAGAATTATGGTCTTCCAGAAACGACCCAGGTGTCAGGGAGACCCAAACAGGTTCTTACTGGGCTCCGCTGACATTGAAAACACACACAACTACACATATTTGGGACTCAAAATTAGCTCTACAGGAAATTTTAACCTGGCCGTTAATGATCTCAGAGACAAGGGAAGAAAAAAGTCTTCAATCATAGATATACCTGTTAGAATCTGGCTCAAAATATTCAAATCTATAATTGAACCAATTATTCTGTATGGTAGTGAGGTGTGGGGCCCTCTTGTAAATCAAGACTTTGAAAAATGGGACCAACATCCAATGGAAACCCTGCACACCGAGATTTGTAAGAGCATCCTCAGAGTGCACAGGAACACCCCCAACAATGGATGCCGAGCTGAATTAGGACAATTTCCCCTTTTAATCAGGATACAAAAAAGAGCCATCAAATTTTACCAACACCTAAAAGCAAGTGAGCCCAATTCTTATCATCACAAAGCTCTGCAATGCCAAGAGGAGAAGATAGAGAAGAGTCCCCTCAGCCAGCTGGTCTACTACATTAACTACATTAACTATTGGACATCTACCACAAAAACTCAAAGCAAACTTCAATGCTATTTGTCTCTAAATAGACAGTATACGATGGCAAACTATCTGAGCACCGTGCCTGATCAGAAATTAAGAAAGACATTGACCATGTACAGACTCAGTGACCACAGCTTGGCCATAGAGACGGGCAGACACAGGCAGACCTGGCTGCCCAGAGAGGACAGG